TGTGTGTGTGTGTGTGTGTGTGTGTGTGTGTGCGCGTGTTTGTTGTATACAGCTGTAGCTTCATTGTAGGCTACTTCATAACTGTATAAGTTACCGTTTTAAAGTAGTTTTAAAAGGAGACAAATAACTAAGTTCATGCATTCCTAAGCTCCATTAAAATCGAGATGTGCCTCTGTCCTGATGCTGAGATGGTCCTCACTGCAGAACACAAGATCCAGGGGGCGAGGTTGGATCCAGATCCAACTCCTCCCACCTTACATATACCTAAACCTACCCATCTCCACCCCCTAGATGTGGATCTAGCCCCGCCCCCTGGATCTTTGTTCTGCAGTGAGGGACTACTGATGCTGGCTGACAGCAGGTCTGGTGGAAGCGTGAGTAATGTCACGTGTGACGCAGTGCAGCCTGTCAGTATACTGCTCTAAAGCATCTTAAATAGCGAGGACACGCTACAATTCATCCGGAAGGCTTCTGCTCTCTGCCTGCAGTTTTTGGCCAAGGATTCCCTTAAGGTATGCTTTACATTTAAAGACACTTCGACTGAGAACCGTTTATGTGATTAGTAGGTTTATAAATTAATTGTCGAAAAAAAGTTTTTAAAAAATGATAAAATCATGCATGGGATTTATTCAAGTCAATATGCGTGAGAATGCCACTACTGTGAACCGTATTCATTCAAACAGCGCGTCGCATTTGGTTTTGACACTGAGCACGATAAAGAACCGAACTACTGGATAGATGCAATGCACCGTGTTGCACTCACAATATTATATCATAATCATATTGAGAACAGAGCGAGGATCTCTCGCGCCTGCGTGCTAAAAAGTAAGAAACTCTTTAAAGGGGGCGGGACAGTTTTGAAGTTTTGCTCTTCCAGTGGCTTGTCTGATAGGCTATTAGTAATAGTTTGCATATTCCGTCCTGCCCCTCTTCCAGCGATTAATCCAATAACTCCTTTGTGCTGATCTGCATGTTTTGCGAAATAAGATAATCGTTTAATATTAGTGTTTCGTTTTGATTTAAAATAGTGTAAAATATAAATGCAACAGGACTAATTGCTCTATTTATTTGTCCTGCGATATAAATGACATATGTTGCTGGTTAAAAACCTGCAGATGAATGCTATATTGTTTTATGGTCGATTATATGTTGTGTCTATGTCGGAATAACTTCTAATCTGTTGGATATTTTCTTTTAATGACACTCCAGGTTATATTAAACAATCAGAATACGAGAAGTGTTATATTGATAAGATACATGGTTGAAGTATTAAAAGGATAACTTATAGCCTACATCAACATATCATCAGCATGTTTGAATAATGAGCAAAGATATCTAATTTCATAGACCGGATATCACTTTCATGTACAACACTTTTATTATTTCAGTAGTGACAGTAGTGCCTCTGCTGCCTAAGTAATGTGATATTTCTTTGCAATTGTCACATTTTAAAATGGACCTTTTTTGTGAAATACGGCATATTTGTTTTCGGTACCAAAGTCGTTATTTGTTGAAAACATTAGGATTTT